GCAAAAGGGCCAGGGTACTGAAATTGGGCCTGTAGCATGCTGGGATGAAGGACTACCATGTTAGTTCAAATGATTGACCTTGATCAACTTTCAACCTAATGTCCTTGTTCAACAATCAAGGTCAGAGGCGTCATATGTTTAAATCTTTTAATAGGTTCTTATGAAATCTTAAGATTACAAGTGTTAGATTAATAACAGGTGAGCGATGCAGGCCCATTGGGCCTCTTGTTTTGTATATATTTTCTGAATTCATAGACGATCTCAAGTTAAGCAAAAGAAAAAATATACCTATAAGGAAAAAAATACGTTGTTAGCCAATTTCAAAGTTGGCCTTTGTCAACTTTTTTTTCGAACTTATTTCGTTGTCTGTTTTTTAAAGTCCCTTTTTCAAAGTAGGCCTTTGCTAATTCTTTTTGTTTCTTCTTTAATTCATTTATTTTTAGTTGATGACTTGATTTTATGTTGTAGGTATTGCAGAGGAGTTTGTAAATGGGAAATACGTCGTACTTGAACATTTGAGGGGAATCGCCTGTCCCGAGGCTTTCATTCTCTTCTAATCATTCATTAAGAAAAATTACATGTTTGTCATATAAAAGAATAGCTAGTTAAAGATTTGGCAATTCATCTTATCCTGAAATTTTCCAATATTTGTGGAAATCTTTTGAACAAGAGGCTCAATAGGTCTGTACTCATCACTGGATATTTGTCTCCAATTTCAGTGTGTCCTTAAAAGTGAACCATGGTCAAATCTGTTAAAATAGTCTTAATTAAGCTACACGTCAAATATCAAAATCTAACACTCTTAGTTTTTCATAAGAGCCCGTTAAAAAGACTTTTTAACACATTTGACACATGTGACCTTTACATTTGAACGAGGTCATTCATTTGAATAATAATAATAATTTGCGCTCTTTTGTACCGCTTTATCACAATCTAGTTCGTAGGTTGTCTCAAAGCAATTCACAAATTATTATATATATAGACTGGTATTGTAAGGAAATATTTGGTGTTAGGCAAGGATATGCACTTTAGTCTTTGTATTCCAAAACACAAGAAAGGGTGTTTTTGAAGTAAAAAGGCATTGTGGGATAAGTATGAAACTTTCACAAATTGAATATAATCATATAACTAATATCTATGACAAGTTGTATGCTTATCCCGAAATGCCTTTTATGTACAATCAGCCCTTATTATTGGAAATAGACAGAACAATTGGTAAAATAACAAAATGGGTTACAACGTAACTGGGACGATTGAAACAGACACTTTCTTCGAGGTTAGGAGACTTAAAATTACCAGCAAATCAAACTTCATATAATAAATTAATCGTTTGACAGTAGTTGTGGTGGCAAATGCTATTTTTTATTTGTAAGTTAACTTTGATAAGTGAAAAAAACAAATAATGACCTGGAACTCTTATACTTATAGCATATAAAGGGTGTCCTGTACCTTGTAATTCACTTCAGATTGAAACCTATTTGAAATTGCCAAGTGTGAGAATTGTCCAGAAGTCATAACTCAGTATAAAACAAAAGGAAAGTGTGAAGTGAATACGCATTTTATGTAAATGTACTCAAATGAGTAAAGTTGTAAATTTCAACTCAAAATATAAATTTGAAAGGAAATTATTGAGAAAACCAAAAACTTTTCAGGTGAAAGTTACCTAAAACAACCCCCTGACTTAATCCTCCGTTTTATATAAACGATCTTTAAGTGACGATTGAATTTCTGCCATTTTACATTCTTTTATATATGCCTGTTTAGTTCACACATGTTTTCAAAAACAGAAATCGAAATCGTATAATTTTGGTTTTTAAGCTCATTTTGAAAACAGCAAACTGTTTTTGTAATTAACCCTTTTTGGTACCCTAAAAACCCACTTTCGGTCAAACTTTTACCTTAGTTACTCTGAATGTAATACAATAGGACATCGTTGAACATACCGGGGCCCAAAAAAGGGCCTTATAGACACTCATCCTTCGTATACTAAAATCATACACATTAAGTTGGACATGAATGTTAGCATGCCCCCGAAATAAGTTAAGCCTTTTACTAAAGAACAACTTTAAAAAAAAATCAAAAAAATCTAGTATGCATTTGCTCAATATGTTGTGTTGGAATGGTATTGCTGTAATGCAACTTAATCTGAGATGAAGATGATTAAAGTATTACGTTTTTCCAAAGCTTGTTTCTCATAAAACATTCATTTTGTAAGCTAATCCACAATTTTGATTCCCGAAATAGGTTCTTATATATATATAAGTCTTTGCAAAGCAGTCATCAAATGAACCCCATATATATATTCGTCTGATTCATGAAATGGAAAGCCGGTATTTCTTCATTTTGAACATGTCAATTTGTGAGTTTTGTTTTTTGTTGTTATTTCTCCTTTTAAGTCTTTATTTGATTTTTTTTTTACTTTGTTCTTGTCTTTTTGAAATGGCATGTACCTTAAAATATTTACTTATTGTTCACAATTATGTATAATGCATAGGTCCCTTTTGTAAACACAACGCTATAATTGTACAACTTTATTTGCAATAACCCAGAAGAAATCGCCATTGGTATGATCAATCATGTTGTTCATATCTATTGAAACTTAAAAGGCTTAATTTTCTATTTTCAATAATATCAAAGTTTTACTTTATACTCAAAACAATGTGCATATCAAACCTGTCACAAGGATTCAAAACCGACTGGTCCCTTTATTTGTCAAGATATGACTGAGTGAGCGATTTGTATTGTTTACCTGACGTGACAAAATTGTATTTTATTTCATACATGTGTGTCACACAACACAGGCCGACTATTTTGAAGAAAGAAAAAAACATTACAACCATCTTCATTGCTTATAACACTTGCTAATTTATTTTAATCTTGTTCAATATGTAAAAAATATATCTGTAAATAAAACAATGTTTATTTGTCTGCAAAATTTTGTTGGTTTTGATGTTTTTCTTTTTGTGAAATGGCTCATATTATATTGAGATGAAATGCCAGTTTCAAGTTACTGATATATTATATCAATAACTTGAAACTGGCATTTCATCTCAATATTTTTTGTTTTTTGATTCTGTACTTTTTTGTAAAGCGACAATGCAAAGGGAGATAAATGTAAAAAAAATATTATCATTACTTGTCAGTATGTAGATATGAGGACAACAAAATGAGTACAATAAAAAAAATTGCCGAAATTGGGTTGTAAAACAAGACAATCTGAATAAATACAGCTGTTCATTATCACGTACCGACTTTCGGTAAAAATGACACCCAATCATTTTCACCGAAAGTCGATCTGAACCCCTAAAACATGTAAAATTACTCTGAACACCTTAGTTTAGGTCCAAATATAGCTGTAACAAACTGTGCCTTTCACAATGAAAATATAGCTTTCGGAGATAATGCTTAAATGTCCTGTACTTTGTTTCATTTTGACTCCATCAAATTTTTGCAAATTCATTAATTTGATATAGAAACACATACTGCCTTGCAGAATATAAAGTTTCATATGAAATACTCATTTATTTACTTTAGGAGAAGTGCCACCAATCTTGTGTCTACAGAAAAACAGACAACCGGATTCTATATATATGCGCTTCATTGCAGGTGGTATATCTTAAAATAAGAAATCCAAGAATTTATTCAGTTTTGTGACAAAGCAAAAGTACACATTCATTTTTTTTCATTTTTTGTAGTAAATTCACTTTTTCATGAGAATGTTATATATAAAGCTCCAGATTCTTTTAACATCATTTGAATATATTTCTCAATCATAATTAAGTTAACACAAATAACATTTTAAAAGATGATCCCTTTCAAGATTTCACCAATGCACTGTAGTGATGGGCAATTGATCAAAAATCATGATCGATAATCGTTTTGTTATTGGAAGTAGTGAATTGATTGATAATCATTGCATATTCCGTTTATAATTTTCAGGAACTTATTACCCAAATAAAGCGAGACTACTATTTTAACATCCATATACATAGTTTTTAACTATACATTAGGTTTCATATTTTTTATAATGATCTGATTACAAGCAGCTTTTAGTTATTCATCTATATTGCCCTACACCGGAAAAATCCATATTCGCCCATTGTCAATTTGGCCATTCACAAATAATTATGTACATTATCCAGGTATGTGTTCCCTAAGGTTCGCTGTAATGAAAAATTCCCCTCATTATGGCGGGCAAAAAGGCGAAAAATTTCTGGTGTGCTGTTAAAGAAAATTCAATGCATACTGTATATTGCAATCATTTGACACTTAAGTTAAGTAATGAACCGTTTATATTGATTTTGGAATTTGTTATCAATAATCGGAAGAGAAGAAATGGCAAATCAATCAGTTTTCGATTATTACTGATCAGCAGCCCATCACTACAATTCAGGTATTCTGAAATATACGGAAGACAAAAGCATTGCTCTTTCAAAAACATTTAATATCATTAAACCAAACACATACCAAAACATTTACTCAGAATCTATCACAATTCTGAAGGCAGTAGTATTTTGAGGGTCACCTCTTTCAGCTCTTATTTCACACTCGAGAAATAATCAGTTAAGTATATTATTAAGAATGGATTTTGAAAACTACGCGTATGTCTGTAAAATTCCCAAAAAATTACAATTCCTTGTTCTCTTAAATTATTATGGGGTTTAAACTTTAAAAATCCTTTTTTTTCATTAAAGCCATTTCTTATTACCAGTAACAGGCAAGGTTTCCAAGACTCAAGTTTCCTCAAGAATAGTCAAATGATTTGGCGGACACATGGTAGATTAATAGGGGGCAGGTATACTGGTATACGTTGTAAAAGTAAATAAGCAAAAAACCAAATTCGATGAAGTAAAATCTGAATTGAATCTGAATTAAATTTGAACAAAAGTTTCATATTCTTCAAGAAAGGAATATCTTCCAACTAGTACCCCGTTGTTAGACATGCAGTTTGGAACCACATACCAGTTTTATTCCATACTGTTTTGTGCAACTTTCAGATTGTCAGTGTATACCGGAAGTACAAACGCCTTCTCCCCTATGTCATGCGTATCAGAAACGAGATATTGCCGAATAAACACAGTATCTGGCAGAAATCATTCACAGGACTCACCTTTTGAAATCAATTGCTTCTTTATCAAAATGTTTATTATAAGTAAACAAAAGTGTACACTTTTAGGATCCAGGTGTACATTAAAGCTGATATTACTGCATCATGTATTATACCCAAAAAATAAATGCTGCTTAAATACTTATGTTTACAGTTTATGCAATCCTTTTGATCGCAAAATATCGGAGATGTTTAGCAAATTTATACAAACTTCCTTCCTAAATGACCTACAAATATTCATTTCCAAAACACTGGTTATTTTCATCAGATCAATACTAAACTTTGCCTTCTTCCTTAAATTAACGACAAATATTAACTTTGTGTTAAAAAACACAGCAATGTCTTGTTATGGTTATGACCCTATATCTCCTCCAAGACCTGCAGCCAATTAACATTCAATGGATGGCAAATAGGGGCATGTTCTTTTATGTGGAGGAATCGGTTCAACTTTTTTTAAATGTGATATTTCAGTGATAAATCTGGGTGGTTCTGCAATTGTTAATAATGCAGGCCTCGATCGACAGTCTTGACCAAGGCTCAACAGAAAGCAACATCAAATAACCAGGCCCATCTCTATTACATAAACGAACAACTCTGGTCCAACGGTTCGGAACACGATAAATGCAAGAGGCCTAGGATAGAAAAGATTTGTAACACATTCTCAATAACAGACTAGTCTTCCTAAAGAGTGATCTCCAACTGACCATTTCATGTAGATGATGATCAAAATGACACATACAAAATGTATTAATGTTGACATCAACACTATCTGAATCCTTGCCCTTGCAATTGGTTATCTCTCATTTTCTGTGACCTCCAGTTGACCTTTTGCATAAAAATCCTGGGAGAGACTAGAATGGCTGGTTTTTGTTTGACAATAACATTTACAAACTTCCTGTCGCAGTCTACCCCGCTTTTTCTACTCTGTGATCCCGAGCTGACCTTGGAATATTTCCGAGCAGACGGAGAACCGGATTACACAGGTTTTGTTGGACAACAACATTGGCGAACTTCCTGTCAAAGCTTTTCACCACCTCGAAGTTGTCCAGTTGACATTTGACACATTAACACTAGGTTGGTGGTCGAACATCTAGCTGCCCGGTGTGTGTTTTGATAGAGAACAGAATAGGGATGTGTTCTAGTTTGGGATTGCTCTGTTGGAGGTAGCGTATCCAGGTGACCACAGAATCGCGAGAAGAGGTCCCTGTGATGCAAGTGGCCATCACGGTGCCATCGTCCTGACAGTGGATACTCGGAGGGACCAGTACGGCCTGGTCGTCCTCGTTCTCCGTTAAGTAAGGGTTCAGTCCTGTCCAGTCCACCTCAGAATCTGACCATAGAAAAGAAAAAGAACTTACATTTTAGAACTGTATGTCACTATAGTTGTTGGGAGCAATTATTTTACAGTACTAATAACTTTTAACATGTTTCATGGAAATTCTGCGAAATTGTGCTTTTGAATTAATATTTAAATTAGGTTTTACTTGAAGCGTGGGCATAGTGGATAGCTCCCTGCATATCTGTTCCTATATATATGCTTGGTACTTGAGGTCAAGGTCAAACATTCGAACGATGAACTCATGAGCCTCATTTAATTACATGGGTGGTTGGTTTGGCACAGTGGATAGTGCAATTGCCTTTAACCAAGGCACCCTGGGTTTGATTCCCCGATCGGACGTGAAAAGGTATGGGGTCACCGGCCCGACCATGTGGGTTTTCTTCCCATACTCTAGTTTCCTCCCACATTAAGAAGCCCTGCACGCTAACACCCGGGCCAAACAGAGTGATTTATTTAAGTTGAAATAATTTCTTTCATAACTGTTGTAAAGTAAATAAAGTTAATTTAATTACATTACACATTGCCCCAGAATAACTTACCTTCACATCTAGTCTGATGTGCATACCTTAAAAACTGTAGCCAAGATATCCTCTGAAAACCTTAAGCTCACTCTGTATGGTAAACTTGAGTCATATTGAAGTTGAACAAATTATATAATTATATTACACAACATACTGCTTGACCATGAAGAACCCTCATATCAATACATGAAACGGTATCCAAGATATGCTCCAGAAACCTGTTTAACCTTTTTCAGGTCATGGTGACCTCATTTTAGGATCTGACAAACCATCTTAAAAGTGGCTGAGATTTGTGTCAGAAAACTGTATGACATAGTATGTTACCACATGCGGTCCAGGTCAAAGATCAAATAGAAGTCACAGTGACCCATTTTAAGATGTGTCACACCACCTTCCTAAGTTTCATGAAACAGTGGCTAAGATTTGTTCAAGAAAACTGTATGACATAGTATGTTACCACATGAAGTCCAGGTCAAAGATCAAATAGAAGTCACAGTGACCCATTTTAAGATGTGTCACACCACCTTCCTTAGTTTCATGAAACAGTGGCTGAGATGATAAGTGATCCAGGAAACTATATTAAACTGTATTTTAGCACTTCAGGTCAAGGTCAAAGGTCAAAAAGAAGTCACAATGACCCATTTTATGATATACCTACATGTATCTGCAAAAAATCTTTATGCACACTCATGAAACAGTGGCAGAGACATGCTCTGGAAACCTGCATAACACTGTATTCCGATAGACTTCTGATAAGGGAACCCATTAAAATACATATTGACATCTTTCAAGTTCAGTTGCTTCTTTATTTATTTATTTTTAGTTTGGTTTCAATCGGATTTGTAGCTTGTTTGATAAAAATCAATACCTGCAATAGGTTAATAGTTAAAGAAACTCTATTTATAAGGAAATCGTTTATACTTGACCGGTCATTTTTGGGGGAATTTTTCAAATTTACATCCATCAGATCTTACTCACCGTCTTCCACATCTCCCGCAGGGGCATGAGGTCTACCCTGGTCGGACTTTAGCACAAAGTAGTGTTGCTGTTTGTGACGAAGCCAGACACTGTAACTACCTTCCACCACCAGGGGGACATCCACGGAATGGGCGCTGATCAGCTCTGCCTGATCAGGACTCTGGGCACTAACTATGAATGTGTCCTCCAGAGGAATTTCCTCAACTTCCGCAGTCTATGTAGTAAAGGTTAATAGAAAATATATATTAGTTTTTATCGAAAAACAAATTACGAAGGTGTAATGTATTACTACACCACTGTCACTTTCCACAGAAAAATAATGCTCTGTGATATTAAGGGCTGGTGCACAATTAATTGGAAAATCAGTATATTGCAATACACAGGCATATCACATTGTAAAACAACTGAAATATTGCTGTATCACAATTTTTTCAAGAACCTTATTTTTTTATGGATCTGCTAGGTACTTTAATATATAGGAAGATACTGCACATTCTAACCGACAGGCCGATACTATTCATTGTACCACAAACAAACTGTGTGTTCATTTTAACAATTTAAATAATGGACAAAGAAATGGCGACTTGGATAAGATCACCATTGAACTATAATGTCTAATTAAATGTGAACTCTTGTTGTCACTTTAATATTCATGGACTAAGTTTCGTCACTTAACCCTTTCAACACTGTAGACCATAATGGACTCGTCCAGATCAATGCATGGTAGAGTCTACTAAAGTTACATAGGGGTGAAAGGGTTAAGAATCACATTCCATGTTTAGGTAGAGGATATAAAGACGTTTGATGTTCAGCAGTCCTGAATCAATGTCCTGATGATTCAAATTTTCCCCCAATGTTCCCGCAAAGTTCGAAACATTAAAGTTTGACTGTATACGATTAAAGTTGAAAACATTCTGACATCTTTCTTTCGAAGTTAGCACCTTTTCCCTATGATAACACCACAACACATTCCTTCTGTATATCAATACATACATTGTGATACATTCCAGGCATTTTGTGATAATCTTTGAGGGGGTCATGGGGCCATTGATCATGACCCCTCAAAACTGAAATTGACCCGTCCATGTTCCATTTTTTTTTTAAATTTTACACAGAATGGCTTCTCTTAATTTTGAAATTGACGAAAACTTGCTGAAAATGGCCCACTACTCTCAATATCCAGGATTTCCCCAGCTGGATCATATCACATGTAAATTGTTTATTGATTAAAAGAGCACCTTAGCATATAAAACAAATACTGCAGTCAATTTCACACAGATTATAATGATAAGCATAATGGAATTAAACCTTGTTATCATGTCCTTCACTAAACTATGTATATGTCAGTGTATGGTACCCAAAACAGGACCGTTTTTTACTTAAATATGAATGTTTTTTATACACTAGTATCGAATTCCAATAACGTTTGTCCATTTTTTTAATTTTGACAAATGTTGGAAAATTTTGCAAAAGACAAAAAGATTCACATGCCCGCTGACCCAACCTGCCATCCGACTTGGGATCGATCCTGTACTACATGATTACTTTTACCTTCCAGACTGTGATTTTGTTGTTAAGGTCGATGGCCATACGCTTCAGTGCTATAATGGCCAGCTGTATGGGGTCATCAGTTAGTTGCCAGGGCACAGGATAAGGATTAGCGTGGCGGAACTTTGGCATCCAGTACAACATTCGCGTGTACTTCCTCATCACGTAGCTGCTGATGCCGAACCTTTCTTCGATCATTTCCTCCATCTTCTCGTCAGGTATTACACCTGCAACCACGGAAAACTCATTCTTGTACAATGATATCTGAAATGCTTCCAAAGAAATTAATACAGGGGCGTCGGGAGTACCTATTACACTGAAACATTTAACAAACATAATTTATAAGGTACAATACATATACAGTCGAACCTCGTTATCTCGAACTCGTATAACTCAAAGACCCCGTTTAACTCGAAGTAATTCATCGGTCCCGGCCAAAACTCTTCTTAATCTTAGTAATAAAAACTCTGATAATTCGAACTCTGAAAACTCGAAAAACTCAGATATCCTGAAGTGAAATATCGGTCCCAACAACGTAAATCCTACATAAAAATATTGCTTACCTCGAAGTTTCTTAAGATTCACAATCTTAACTCGAATACTCGGATAGCTCGAAGTTTCCCAACGATCCCGCCGACTTCGAGATAACGAGGTTTGACTGTATACTGTGAAATCACTATTTGTCATGGGTTTTTTAATTTCACTGATTTCATGGGTAATCTTCATTCACAAATCCATATGTCAATGAATAAAATAAAAGTTTGATATATAAAACAATTCTCCGTTCGAGTGGATACTCGTAATCATGTACCCATGAAATGGTGTTTTGTTGGAAAACCACAAAATATGGGCCCCACGAAAATATCTGCTTTCACAGTATACGTACTTCACTTTAAGTATCAGAAAAATAATTAAAACCAGGGATCAATCTAGGTTTTAGGGGAAACTACCCTTTTTAAGATTTGGGGGGAATTAAAATTTGATACAAGGCTATATAGCGTCACGAAGGTAAAAGATAAATGTTTTGTCCGATATACATGTGTGCAGTATATTTCAATTTTTAAACAATTTTAAGCTTAAAATCGTAGAATTTTTGTTAAAATTATGTGGAGAAAATGTATATATGCAGTATTATGCATTTTAACTGTTGAACTTTAAAGAAAACATATATAGGGGAAATATTGTGAAGAAAAAACAGCTATTTTCTTGTTGAAATAAGGGAGTTTTGTAGCACATAGGGGGAATTTCAAAGAACAGGGGAATTTTCTTCTGTAGGGGAACTACCCATAAACGGTATAGTGAATCAAGTCTAGATTGATCCCTGAAAACGGTTGCTGAACTTCTTTCCATCAGTCTTACCATTATTTTGCATTTTTTCCAGAATGTCTATAGCACACTGTTGTTGCTTGGGATAGTGTCCCAGCTCGGCCATCCATTTTGACTTTGGAAGAAACTTCTCTTGGGGCATAGTGCCTATCATAGCCTTGTACACTTCTTTGTCTTTATGTACACCCCATTCTTTCATGTTATCCAAACCAGTCGATAGAAACTCCACCAGGCCCCTATTGTACACCTTCTCCCGTTTCTTGTATATCGCTAACGCTTTCAGAAAATTTCTTTTGTTTTTGCCCGATTCTCCGATTTCGTGAAATATGTAGGTTGACAGCTGAAACATTTTCTTTTCCTCGTCTGTGAATTTATATTTTTTAGGAAGAATTCTCATATCTATTGGATTTTTCCAAAGATCTGGATGTTTTGAGGCTGCTTCATTTTGAGGTTGTATGGAAGACATTTGTTCCTCGGTGAGAACCTGAACTTGTTCAGAATTCTCCTTGGTAGCTAAATCTGAATCAGATTTCGTCTCTTGCTGATTATCCTGCTGATTTTCAAGCTGATTTCCTTGCTGCCTCTCATGCTGTTTCTCAGCTGCAGATGATTCTGCAGATCCCGTGTGAAACTGACCTGTCAGTGATTTACACTGCTTCAACACCAGGTGAAGTTGTGATGTGCTAAACCTTGTACACACACCACGAGGAAACATGGTGGAACTGTTTTTCAGTTGGACGTGCCTGGAAAATGAAGAAAATTGAGAAACCAATTAGTGAAATTTTATATGACTTAATAATATTTGTGCTTCTTATAACCGGACAAACCCTATAAAATGAAAGTAGATATAATTCATACACAATAGTACTAGTTCAGAAATATGATTAAAATTACTCCATCAATTTTCTTTTAAATTTCATAAATTGAACTAGTAATAATAATATACAACATTTATATAGCGCCCTTTATAATTTGTAAAATTACTCTAAAGCGCTTTAAAACATATGGATAATAGCAAAAAACAAAGGCTTACAATCACTTTCATACATTTAAGCAAGCAATGTGCAATTACATAATTGAACAAATAAAAGGGTGGTATTTACATGACGTCTTTGCAAAGATTCTAAAATACAGACGTGAAGAGGTGAGTTTTGATGTCCCTCTTGAACTTGGCCAGGGGATTTGACTTTCTAATAGCAGATGGTAAGCTATTCCACAACATAGCCGAAACCCTCCCAAAGCTAGTGATAGCTCTTTTCATTATAATAATTATAAATAACACTGTATTACATGGACCAATCATGCTCACATGAAATTTTGGGTGTGTTGAATTTATCTAAAGAATGTCCATACTACAGTAGCCGTATTCATGAAACTGTTCTCATGCTCAAATATGGAATTTGTGCTCAAGTCTAATTTCTTGTTCCGGTTATAACTTGATAATAAAATTTTATTTTTTCAATGATTTGGAAAAACTTTGAAGAGACTTAAAGTCAAATACTGTTTTCAATGTTTTCATTTGACGTTTTGATCGTTTGACATGATTTAAGTGAGTTACAAGAATGTTGGTTTGAGCACAAAATCCATGCTTGAGCATGAGAACGGTTTCATGAATATGGGCCCAGGTGTCACAATATACCTGGAGTATATCACAATATATTGCAATACACATATATTGCGATACGTATCCGATATTGTCATTGGAAAAAGATGCTAATTAAGATTTAAATCGCTATACAAACCATCAATTATGAAATTTAAACTGATTTCCACCGCAAATATAGCCTGTGTATGGTTATTGGCATAACTGGTACAATATGTAGTACAATGGAGTTTGTAAGGTTAAAAGCACCTAGCATAATTCATAAAAACAAGATTTTGAAAATTATTGCAATACAACAACATTTCATTTGTGTATTGCGATATGATATGATATGCGATGTACAGGTTTTCCAATATATTGTGACAGCCCAAGTACTTACATGTACTGCATTTGTCGTAATAAGTTTAGGACACATGCTGTATTACATACTGTGATACTTGTAATGTCCAAAATAATGTAAGAGTGTCTTGATGAGATGTTTTCAAAATTATTTCAATTTTTGTATCTACTACATTTTTTAACAATATCTTTTCTATAGAATCTACTTCGTTTACTTAGAAAGTGATTTTTTAACTAACACCCAAAATGTATTCTTATTTCAATCCAAATTGACATCTATATTGCCCAAATTTAGCCAATGCCCATATCACCCAAAAAAACTATTATGATTCATTTGCCTGAATAAACAATAATACATCTATGCAAACTGAAAAATGAACAATTTTTTGGGGTAATAATGATGGTTTGTTACATATTTTTTTTACCTTATGATTATTCTGAATGCAGGCGATTATTCAACAAGCTGAGTTTCAATGTCATAAACTACAGGATGATTCTTGAAGTGGTTGTCTAAACAGTTTAAGGGCGTTAGGAATTTTTGGGAAGATTTTTTTTGAGCATTATGAAGTAAAATGGAGCAAAAAAGCTTGGGACAGAACAGATTTGGTGACGAATCGTCTGAAACCCTTATTATGAGGGTGGGCACAACCTCCCACATGCCTGAGTAATAATTCTTCATGTCAGAACAGGCAACTGTTATCTAACTGCAGGATTACTATCACCTTTTGGTGTAAAAGATGAGCATTGCTTAGGTAGCCTTACAAGTGTCAGCTGTAGGGAGTTTCCCTTTAGCTCAGCAGTAACTGGAGAGCCAAGGGTCGCGGGTTCGAGCCCCAGTGACGGCACTATCTTTATCACTATTCCTCGTCCTATTACAATGGTAATACCTGAATATGTGTATGTTTCAAGAAAATTACTACAAAGCATATTATATGTATTTTTATTCTAGAATGTGAAGCAAGGCATTTTTGTCACTGTAAACAGCGATATTACCTCGAATAGTTTTGTCGCTTTAAACAGGGACATTCCCTAAAACGATGGTCGGTCCATCTTCATATGTCATCCCAAACCTGGAATGGAAAGTCGAGATCTCCCACGTGCTGAGACAAAATACTGTATGGCTGAAATCAATTTCGAGAAAATAACATTTATGCATACAAATAGTATGTTCATTGTCGTGACAACCGGTATAAACTGGTAATTACCTCAGAAACAAATAATTACGCAAAGTATCCTTGAAACCATGTGTGGAACATCGTCGGTCAACCGGCTTACACCATTTTCTTCCTTTACACTGAAGATCGTCATAGCAAGGGAGATAACCGCCATCATAGAGACCCGTTGGTCGCACACTCACTGTCCTTACACTTATATAATTACCGTACACCATATATTTATTGTATAGCTTTCAATATTTTTGTATTTCCTCATTTCAGAAAAAGAAAACATATCTAATATCTCAATGAATAATTTCAAATTTATTCATTTATTCATATTACGTGCTTGAGATAAAAAAAAAATATATTATAGAAGGCCGCTGTTGTTTTTTTTACTATAAACGGATATTTTAATAATATTCCGTAAAACCTTCTCGACTGGCTAGACCAATTAACCAAATCCCTCAAAAATATGACAAGAATCATCCAGAATGTCACAAGAATTACCCTAAATGACACAAAATCTCTATTAGCCAATTGCAATGATCTCACGTTAGGCTCCCAGCTAAAAAGTAAGATCTAACTAACAGTGGTGGCTTTGGAAGTAGCCGGAAGATGTTCGTTGCGGATACTTTTGAGAGAATAATAAAAATCAAGTTCTAAATGTAAAAAAAAATCTTGGGACACTAACAGACGGAAGAAGAAGATAGAAGAATATAGGGGACTTAAATTATTTTATGTGTGGCAGATTTTAATTGTAAATAGGATTACGTTCGCCTCCTAGCTTCGAGCTAGAGGGAATTTCCCTTTAGCTCAGTGGTAGAGCGTCGACTATAGCTAGGAACAGAGGGATCGCGGGTTCGATCCCCGGTGGAAGGACACTTCTCTTTCCAGTTACAAATGGTGTCCGTGGCCCACCCTGTGGTGACAGGGAGTTAGAACCTGGGTTGTGGTGTTCGAGGGCGAACACATTAAAAAGGGGAGAGTAGTGTGGCAGATTTTAATTGTCCATATACTTTTAGCTTCGACTAGGAACCAAGCTAGGGATCACGGGTTCGATCCCCGGTGAAAGCACACTATTCTCTTTCCTGTTACATGTACATTCATTTAATTGTAGGAATTTTATATAGATTATCTAACTCTTTTTCTCAACCAACTGCATTGGCAATACACGCACAGTTGTACAAACAGATTCAAATATGTAGATTATGTATTTTCTTGCGTTCCATAATTATGACACATGCATACGCAATGCATACATGTAACAGTAATGCGAATATGAACAGCTGATTGTTGGTCAACACTGTATATTAACATGTGTATTTACTTTGTAACCGAATTGCTGCGTCTGGTGTATATAATTTGTATTCTGTACTAGAAACCATGTCATTGAATGATTTCGTATGTGAGTGGAAACCTTTCCCGATTTCATGTTTCAATATAATGGGGAACTTCATTCGTAGTCTGCAATCATACTGTGTGTATAGATCTATATCGGTGTTTTTTTATACAAAACCTAAAATCCTCTTAATCAGATTCGAGTGCATTAGTCCCAATTCCGATTACAGGGACCTGATAATTTGTTACAGCTATATATATATATTTGAACCTTAACTAAGGTGTTCATCAAAAAAAAATGCGTTTTATGGGTTTATATCAAATTTCGGTCATTTGGGGTGGCATTTTGTTTTTACCGAAAGATGATCTAAACCCATTGAACGTGTGAAATTACTCTGACCACCTTATTTTAGGTCCAAATAAGGCTGTAACAAATTCTCAGGTCCCTGTGATTCCGATTGCGGTCTTTACTTTTAGTCCACGTAAAGGACGTGCTGGTTTGCTGTAAGTCTGATTTAATTACATGCATGCACGCGTAGTTTTAGATTATTTCATGCTGTAGCAATCTTCCAAGTCTCTGGCCTATAGAGTTGCCGCTGTTGCCTAGGGCAGTTGCCAGGCATAATGGCTGTACGTCGGTCAGTGGTTTTTCTCCGGGAACTCCGGCTTTCCTCCACCATCAAAACCTGGCACGTCCTTAAATGACCATAGCTGTTAATAGGAGGTAAAACACAAACAAACCAAACCAAACCAAATTTCACCAAGACGGGCGAGGTTCAATTCCCCGATCCAAAGTGTAAAGGTTTTGTACCACTTGCCCGACCACGTGAGTGTTCTCCTCTCACATAAAGAACACCCTCTTCAATTCGAAGCTACAAGAAATATTAACATAATATAAGTTGACAGAGTTTGTTTCATTATTATCAAAACCTAACTATAACAGCACACGGCAAAATAATGCACACTCCCTTTGGATTAATGAATATTTCACCTACTGATTGGTAGCAAAATAACGTATGAACTTAATACATCAAGAGTTAGCAGAAATTCGTCTGGCATCAGTCAATCATATTTAAAAAATGCTTAAGGCATACTTCGAATGATTATTCAATACTTTTGTGTATATCATTTAATGAGAAACACGGGCATGCATGTGCAAGAGTATGGCGCGTCAAACGTTGCAATATTCAACAATTTTATATGTATGTTCGAAATTTTATATTAATATTCAATAAATGTAAATATATGTGCAATAATTTATATTTGTATTCAATAATTTTAAATATACGCCATACTTGACAGTAATTTTCAATTAATTGAAATAAGGAACGTTCCCTGACTCAAAGCTATTTCCTATCGTAAGGATTTTCGTAGGAAACACTGGTGCGCATGCATAGGCATAACTTAATTAGCATTCATTACACGTAACAAAATAGATTTTGTGTGCTCAGCACTGTGGTTTCACGCGGAACCCGTCGTACAATGTAGAAATATTTCCATTGTCTTGATTGGTTAGGTGCTGTGTGCTCTTGTGTATTCATTACAATACGTACATCAAAACGGTGCATTCAAAAACATAGCTATACGTACAGAGTTCACGATTTCAAGAAATAAGGTATATATACGTTGAAGAGAAAGCGAAACCACCCTTTTTGAAGTGTGTTTAACAGAATTGCAGGAATTGGTTTTTCTGCAGGTCAATTATTTGTGACGTGTGATCAGGTGCTATATTGTATCCGTGCGTGTTCCGGTGCAGCCGCAGACAGACTGTAGGGTAGGTAAATGATTATATAACCTTGCATTGAAATGACTGAAGCCATTAAGGAATTGAATATTGCATATTTATATCATACAATGCTCAATCAATATCTTATCTTATATAGTTATATATAGTTAATAGCTAAATCGGTGGATCTTCGTTTCATCCTGATCAGCAATTAAGGAAGTAATATAATTTTAGATCGCTAGGCCAATTTGCACTATATATCTACTCACTGTGTATTGACGTAATCCACTGGATGTCACATTCAGACTCTTCCAAAACAATACATGGGAAAGTCTATTGTTAAATTCCAGGGGTGAATGAGTGAAGCGGCTGGGGTTGAAATTAGGAAGGGTACCATACAAATACGATTAAAGCGAAAATGTTGTATTATAATGTTTGAGGAGTTAAGTGGGTAAGCCTGGGGAAATATGATGATGTTCCATATAAGATAATGTTCCATATAAGGTAAGGTTGTGGAGTAAATGATCTATGCATCGGAGGGGTAGGTGGACATATATTGCCAAAAAATATACCAGGCAACTTTAGCTGCAATTAAGTTTCGCGGCCATTTTTACCCCACGTAATGCGGAAGTGCTGTATTGTAAATTTTGAATGGCCTTTGGGAGTAGTGTGCCTTTTACGATAATGTTGTAGGCCTATTATGTTTTTAAAGGGTCTTGTGGTCACATATATGGAAAAATGTAGGGCAGTGTTTCAAAGGTAGTCAAGTGTCCACGCAATGAGACATTTTACCCCAGCTCTTCAACAACTTGAACAGGATTTATATCTTTTAAGCTTTCATTGCGACAAGTCAGACAGTTGAATGTATAAAATGACACACATTCCCTCCCATTTCTAAGCAGTGCTTCTTGATAAATCACTTAAAATACATTGCAAATACACGTACGCTGTTCATGTGTTAGTGTAATTTATAGTTTTACATTTTTCCAGGAATTTAGATGCTGAAGGAGCTAGTTGACTTACATAGATGGCAGTCAAATAGACAATGGATTCTGACGATGAGTATGGCAACAATACTGGCAGGTGAGTGGCTAAATACAAGTTCAACATACATGTTTTAACGCGTTAGAAATGTATATTTTTAAAAGGTCTTTGTCAGAATATGACAGTAACGGTTTGACAACGATTTAAGGAATACTATACATAGGGGTGTCAGAAAAATCGTACCACATGGGGTGGAGAAATTATTCCCTAGGGGAAGAGAGAGAAAACCTACTCAAAGGTGGTTGCAGAGAAACCATACCCTAGGGAATGACAACCTAGTGTGTGACATAGAAATCGTACCAGAGACAGAGAGACAGAGAAAAAGTCCTCTAGATGTGACATAGAAATCGTACCAAAGGGGGTGACAGATAAATCATTCCCTATGGGGAAAGGGAGAGAAATCATTCCCTGGGGGAAAGGGAGAGAAATCAATCCCTAGGGAGAAAGGGAGAGAAATCATTCCCTAGCGAGTGACAGAGAAATCATACCCTAAAGAATGACAGAGAAATCATATCCTTAGAGGGTGACGGAGAAATCATACCCTAGAGGGACACATAGAAATCATACCCTAGAGGCTAACAGAGAAATCATACCTGGGTTGGGTTTGGGTTGGGTTGGGGTAGGGGTTGGGG